AGTAAAAGAAACATCAAGGCTAGAGATTTCAACCACACCGTCATTAACAGTCCTTCATATCAGACATGCTATCAGGGAGCACTCTGGTCAGTACTCTGTCACTGCAGCCAACAGTGCTGGAAAATATACAGGAGAAATCACCGTGGTTGTTCTTGAAAAGCCAGACCCTCCCACGGGACCTGTCAGGATTGATGAAGTCAGTTCAGACTATGTTACCATCTCTTGGGAGCCACCTGAATACACAGGAGGCTGTCAACTAGACAACTATGTAGTGGAGAAACGGGAATCTACAAGTATGGAGTGGCAGACTGTTTCTGCAACTACAGTAAGAACCACAATCAAAGTTACCAAGTTGAAGACAGGAAGTGAATACCAATTCAGAGTGTTTGCAGAAAATAGATATGGAAAAAGTACTGCAATCACATCACCCATTGTAGTTGCGCAATATCCATTCAGTGTTCCTGCTGCCCCGGGCACCCCCTTTGTTTCCACTGTTACAAAGTACAGCATGGTGGTTGAATGGGAGCCTCCAGTCAGAGATGGAGGCAGTCCTGTCATTGGTTATCACCTTGAACGCAAAGAAAAGAACAGCATTTTATGGACCAAACTTAACAAATTTGTTATACCGGATGCTCGCTTCAAAACAAGTGGGCTTGAAGAAGGTATTGAGTATGAATTCAGAGCCTTTGCTGAAAATATTGCAGGGCTCAGCCCATCTAGCAGGATATCAGAATGCTATGTGGCAAGAGACCCCTGTGATCCACCTGGTAAACCCGAAGCCGTTGTCATTACGAGAGAGAACATTACACTCCAGTGGGCAAAGCCCAAATATGATGGTGGAAGCAGTATTACAGGCTATGTTGTAGAAAAAAAGGAGCTCCCAGATGGCAGGTGGATGAAGGCAAACTTTACGAATGTTATTGAGAATCAGTTCACAGTCACAGGTCTGACAGGAGGACAAAGTTATGAATTTAGAGTAACTGCTAAGAATGGGGCTGGTGTTTGGAGTCCACCTTCAGAAAGTGTAACCATCATTGCACAGGATGTTATTGAAGGACCCACAGCATCAGTTGATCCTAAGTTCAAGAGTACTACAGTTGTTCAGGCTGGAGAGACATTCGTCATTGAAGCTGATTACTTTGGAAAGCCTCTTCCAGCAGTAACATGGTTGAAAGAAGGAAGAGAAATCGACAAAGTCACACCAAGAATGGAGATCAAAACCACTCTCACACATACAACCCTGGCTATCAGGGACTGTACACGAGCAGATGGGGGACACTTTCTCTTAAGCCTCACTAACATTGGTGGAACTACTTCTGTCCCAGTAAATTTGAAGGTCCTGGATAGACCTGGTCCTCCTGATGGACAACTGAAGGTAAAAGTTATCAGTGCAGAGAAATGCAGTCTTCACTGGAATCCCCCCTTAAATGATGGAGGTGCAACTGTTTCTCATTACATCATTGAAAAAAGGGAAACCAGTCGTGTTACATGGACAGGAGTTGAAGCTCATGTGGAAGCTCTCAGTTACAAAGTAACAAAACTGGTACCTGGCAAAGAATATGTATTCAGAATTGCTGCCGTGAACAAATATGGTGTTGGTGAATTTTTGGAATCAGACCCCTTAATTGCACAAAATCCTTTCACACCACCAAGTGCACCTTCTACACCTATAGCCACAGCTGTGACCGGTGACTCTGTAACATTAACATGGGAAAGGCCTGAGACTGATGGAGGTTCAGAGATTGATGGCTTCATTGTGGAGAAACTTGACAAAGAAGGTGTCAGGTGGACTAAATGCAACAAGAGAAGACTAAATGATTTGCGTTTCCGATGTACTGGGCTCACAGAGGGGCATTACTACCAGTTTAGAATACTTGCAGAAAATGCAGCTGGTGTGGGTGCTCCCAGTGATCCAAGTGAATATATAAAAGTATGTGAAGCTACTTACCCGCCTGGTCCACCAACCAACCCCAAAATGACAGACTATTCTAGCAGTACTGTGTCTCTGACTTGGTCAAAACCAATCTATGATGGAGGAGCCACCATCAGTGGATATGTAGTAGAGATGAAAGAAGCAACAGATGATGAGTGGATTACATGCACACCAAACGCAGGTGTAGAGGACACAAATTACACAGTGAAAAGACTGAGAGAAAATGCAGAGTACAATTTTCGTATTCGCGCAATAAACGCTGCTGGAGTCGGAGACCATGTGGATCTACCTGGGTCTGTGGTTGCAGCCGAAAAAGTAGAGGCACCAGAGATTGAGCTGGACGCTGCCTTGAGGAAGATTGTCAGCGTTCGAGTCTGTTCCACTTTACATCTCTTTGTTACCATCAGAGGAAGGCCAGAGCCTGAGGTTAAATGGTCAAAGGAAGGTGACACCCTCAGTGAGCGTGCTCAGATCAAGGTAACAAGCTCCTACACTGTGCTACTCATTGAAAATGTCAACAGAAATGATACTGGGAAGTATGTGTTGACGGCTTCGAACTGCTGTGGCTCCAAGTCAGCATTCATCAATGTGAAAGTTCTGGACTCTCCCAGCGCACCAACAAACTTGGAGGTAAAGGATGTAAAGAAGGATTCTGTGTCCATCTCCTGGGAGCCACCTTTGATTGATGGAGGAGCAAAGATTTCGCACTACGTTGTAGAGAAGCGAGAGGAGACTAGAAAAGCATTCACAAGCGTCTTTAACAACTGCATGAGGAATTCATATAAGATCGACAATTTACAGGAAGGATGCTTCTATTATTTTCGTGTCCTGGCTGTGAATGAGTTTGGCACTGGGCTGCCAGCAGAAACCACAGAAGCTATTAAAGTCTCTGAGGTGCCCCTGCCTCCTGGCAAGATCACACTCAACGATGTCACATGCAGTAGTGCAAGACTCTCTTGGGAAAAGCCAGCCCATGATGGAGGAAGCAAAATCACATGTTATATTGTAGAAATGCAAGCTAAGGGAGATGACACGTGGACAAAATGTTCAGAGAGTAAAGCGCTCGATGCAATTATTGATGGCCTGACAAAAGGAAAAGAGTACTTCTTTAGAGTGTGTGCAGTGAATGAGAAGGGAAAGAGTGAGCCAAAATGCCTGCTGGCACCTGTGATAGTAAAAGATACCAGTACTGAGCCTATGATCAGTCTGCTGTCCAACACATTCAGTGTGAAGGCAGGAAATGATTTAAAGATCGATGTTCCATTTAAAGGGGTACCACCACCAACAGCAGCCTGGAAAAAAGACGGCAATGCACTGAAAGAGACAAGCAGAGTAAACGTGAGCACATCTGACACGTCATCTCAGATCATTATCAAAGATGCAACCAGGATAGATGTTGGTGTTTATGAGGTGACCCTGACCAACTCCGTTGGAACCACCTCTGCTCAAATATTTGTTAATGTTTTTGAAAGGCCTGGTCCTCCAGCAGACCTCAGTCTTGATGATGTCAGTGCTGACTTTGTGTCTCTGTCATGGCAGCCTCCACATTACACTGGTGGATGTCAAATCACTAATTATGTTGTTGAGAAAAGAGATACAGGCAGTACATTATGGCAGAGTGTATCAGCTACAGTTGCAAGAACATCAATCAAAATTTCCCGTCTGACACAAGGCACTGAATACCAGTTTCGTGTTGCTACAGAGAATCGCTATGGAAAGAGCCAATTCACTGAGTCAGAGCCTGTTGTCGCTCAGTATCCCTTCAAGCCACCTGGCTCACCACCCAATCTTCATGTTGTGCAGGCCTCAAAGTCTGTTATGGTCATTGCTTGGAGCAAACCGGAGAGTGATGGCGGCAGCCCTATTATTGGGTACCATATTGAATGCAAAGATCAAAGCAGTATACTGTGGAAAAAATTGAACAAAAGCCCAGTGACGGAAAACCAGTATAAAGTGACAAGTGTTGAGGAGGGTCTTATATATGAGTTCCGGGTGTGTGCAGAGAATATGGCAGGTGTTGGACCCTGTAGCAAGCCATCTGATCCTGTAGCAGCTAGAGACCAGTGTGACCCCCCAGGCAACCTCACTGTCACCAATATAACTAACACTTCAGTAACTCTCTCGTGGGACAAGCCAGAATATGATGGTGGAGCTAAAATAACTGGTTACATTGTTGAGCGCAAAGAACTGCCCGATAGTTGCTGGCTTAAGTGTAACTTCACAAACTTATTGGACACCTTCTTTGAAGTGACTGGCCTCACAGAGGGTGAACAGTACAACTTTCGCGTTATTGCAAAGAATGCAGCGGAGCTCTTCAGTCCACCCTCTGAAACAACCGGACCTGTCACAGCACAGCACAATGTAGAGCCACCCAAAATTATCTTGGAAGACAAATTTCGACAGGTAGTGGTTGTCAAAGCAGGAGACCCCCTAAGAATAGAAGCTGTCATCTCAGGCCGCCCCAACCCTACAGTGTTTTGGCTGAAGAATGGTAGAAATATTGGCACCACAGGACGAGTTGAAATAACCGCAACAAAAACGCATACCTCTCTGCTTATCAGAGAAAGTGTTCGGAAAGACTCTGGGCAGTATGCTCTTACTCTCCAGAATACAGGGGGCACCACATCTAAGGCTATCACCTGCAAAGTACTAGACAGGCCTGGTCCACCTGCTGGACCCCTTGAAGTTTCTGGACTTTCAGCAGAAAAGTGCACCCTCTCATGGGGAACTCCTCATGAGACTGGTGGGGCGGAGATCATGTACTACATTGTTGAGAAATGTGAAACCAGCCGTGTTGCCTGGACTCTTGTGTATGGTGACATGATGTCAACTACTTGCAAGATAACCAAACTTCTCAAAGGAAACGAATACCTGTTTAGGGTGAGGGCAGTCAATAAATATGGTGAGGGTGAGACTTTGGAAAGTGACCCAGTCAAGGCCATGGATCCTTTTACCATCTCATCTGCTCCAACAGATGTTGAGGTCACAAGTGCAACCAATGAAGTGATGACTGTTTGCTGGAAGACACCCGCCTCTGATGGTGGCAGCCGCATCAGCGGTTACATTGTAGAGAAAAGGGAGAAGCAGGGCATCCGTTGGGTCCGGGTCAATAAGAAGCCAGTCTATGACCTACGAGTCAAAGCCTCTGGTCTGCATCCAGGATCTGAGTATGAATTCAGAGTCTTTGCTGAGAATGCTGCTGGGCTAAGTGAACCAAGTTTGCCATGCCCACTCACCTTGGCAGAGGATCCAAAGTTTCTTCCTTCCCCTCCAGTAAAGCCCACTATAATTGATTCATCCAGATCTTCAATCACTCTGTCATGGAACAAACCGGTGTTTGATGGTGGAGCGGCAGTTACAGGGTACAAAGTTGAATTCAGAAAATCAACAGAAGAAGATTGGACTGTTGCTGTTCAGAACACAGATAGGACAGAGTTTACAGTAACTGGACTCACATCGGGGACAGCATATGTTTTTACTGTCAGATCCATAAATAAAGTTGGTATTAGTGAGCCTAGCCCAGAAACAGACCCCGAAGTAGCTACAGAGCGAGAGGAGAAGCCTGAGATTCACATTAACCCTGAGATGAGAAAGACTCTGCCTGTTAAATGTGGCAGCTCCTTCACATTGACGGTGCCTTTCACAGGCAAACCTGTTCCCAGTGTGTCATGGGAGAAAGCAGATGTTGATCTGCGAGTCAGAGGAATGATCAACACCACGAGCTCTGCCACCTCTATCACAGTGGAACGAGCAACACGTGATGACTCTGGCAAATATACTGTCAAACTGCAAAATGCTGCTGGATCTGCCTCTTTGACCCTAAATGTGAGGGTTTTAGATTCACCTGGTCCCCCGGCTCATATAATAGTTAAAGATGTGACTAAGAACTCTGCCACTGTTACCTGGGACATTCCTGAGAATGAGGGAGGGTCTCCCGTGAAGAACTACCTTGTAGACATACGAGACATCAGCAGAACAGGATGGATAAGACTTACTGACAAGTGTCGCCGATTGTCTTACAAGGTGTCCGACCTGGAGGAGGGAGGAATCTATTTCTTTAGAGTCACAGGAGAGAATGAGTACGGGATTGGGGTTCCAGCTGAGACCAGAGAGGGAACAAAAATGACAGGTAACACTTAAGATTAAACACACCATCAGCTACAAGAATTCTTTCGCAAAAATTCATGTTAAAACCTCACCTGCACACTTTTACATGCTGTTTTACCTCTGTTTTTGCTTTAGATACAACAGACTGGGAGACAAATCCAGGAGCCTAGCTTGCCCCACGTTAAGATAATCATCTCCTGAAATTTGGAGAAGATATTCGTTTTTGGGTTTTTTTGTTTTTTTTTATAAAAATAGAATACATTCAATTTTGTTTTAAGATGTTCTTTGTCGATTGAGTTCAAATCAAAACATATTTTGTAAAATGAAGGCAATAAAAGAAGTTATTATTAATAGCTCGTGCTGGTGAACAACCATTCTGATGAATTAAGATGTATCAGTTTCTAACTTTATGGTTCAAATGTCTTTATTTATGTAAAGGAAAACAATTTTAGGCAGCACACAAAAACTCTGGAATTCTGTATTGCTTAAGGTTATCCCTGCTGGGATAAAACACATGCAGATATGTTTTTGTCTTTTGCCTGACATGAGAGTCAGAGTATAACGAGTTGACAAGTTAGTCTCATGTCCCGGTACTTTACTGTCTTTTGTTTGGGGAACAAAAGACAGTAAAGTATGGTTTTAACATGTACATCATATTTATGCCAAATATTTCTTTTTTTTTTTTCTTTCTGAACATGTCAGACAAACATATAGGTATGCTTTGGGTTGACTTTATAAAAAATTCTCTCACCTATGTTATTTATACTGACAAAAGACAAGACAATATTACTTTATAGGAGGTAGGAAAACCAGCAAGAACACTTTTAATCTCAAAACCATAGTTCTACATCTATGTTTGCTTTTTATTTTACTATTTCTGGAGGAGTTTAGGAATGGTTAAATAAGAACTGACACATTAAAAAAAATTCCGTTCTGTATTAAAATTACAAAAAACAAATTAAAAAAAAAAACGTGAAAAAAGTAGATTTGTCCAGGTCAGGTTATACACCAAAGATGGAGGAGAAGAAAACATGGAGGTAAATTCAGATTCAAGATATGAAGTATCTATGTTTTATCATCTGAGAAGGGGTCCCCTTCACCAAAGAAGCAACAACACAAAGAAAAGAGACAACAGAATAAGCATCCTCAAGCCCCATCTCCTGAACTGAAAACACATGAAAACATGGATAAATGTGCTTATTTATTTCTGATATTGTCACAATTTCTTCTTGTCAGCAGATTTGACATGCAATCCTGTTGTGTCCAGACAGATGACAATAAGCCAGCTAAACAACAACAGTCGACTATAAGCTAATATTATGGTACAGTCTAAGTTTTAAGTTTCTGATCTCCACTGGTTGACTAAAACAAGTTTGTCATATTATAGCAGCCACCATAGTTACAATTATGCACTTGGATTGGGAGGGGTAAGAAAACAGAATTCATTTGACTGCAATCTACAGACATCTAGTGGTGAGATTTTACACACTATTACTTTAAAGATCACCAATTAACCTAACCCCACTGATTGCTGCATGTCTTTGGACTGTGAGAAGATAGTAGTAGTCACCCTCATACTGAATACTCATTCAGTTTCAGATAAGTCTCGGTCTATATTAATTTAAGCAACTTTCAAAATATTCTGAAAAGAAATAGTGATGTTTTTTGCAAATTAATCATTTTGATATCTTTGCTTAAATACACTTTTAAAATAATAATTTAAACAACTACAAAGAGAATAAATTAAACCTTTGTGAGCTAAGGAAACAATTTATTATTATTATTTTTAAATAATACAGTAGGGTTGATTGGATTACTATTATTTTTAAATTATGACATAAATGTGTCCAGTAAATACTCAGGACCATAGAAATGTTGTGCAATAATATTTTATATGTTTTTAACATGTGTTTGTAATGTTTGTTTTGTATTTATTGTTCTGTAGTTGCAAGTATAATTAATTGGGTTGCAGATCAGTGATAGTATTAGAGGGTTTGTTTGTTTGTTTTTTTCAGAAAAAGATGCTGTGTGATTTAATGAATTATGAAAGTCAAGAATAACCGTAGTTATACAAATAAAGAAAGGAAACATTATTTTGTCTTCTTTGGTAATATGTGGAACTGGGTTGGACTGGTTAGAGTGATACAATCTACTGTGATACAAGTGATTCTATCACTAGAGACCCCACAATAATAGGACTCGCAGGTTCTTTATTTTTATGCTACGAAAATAAAAGCTACTCCTTGTACTTGAGTACATTTCACTGCTCACGTCTTACTTATAAAGTGTTTTTAGTATCCTTATTTCATCAACGACCTTTACCCACTTCCAGTCTGTCTCATCTTTTATTTTGTTATCTCAACGAAAATCAAGTAATGATGACAAAATTGTGAACAGGAACCAAACTGAGTTTTTCCTTTTTTTAAACTTTCCAAAGAAAAAAAAAGGCCACTTTTTTTTAAGGTTTTGCATATACGTCACTATAGAAACCGCTACGCTACACCCTACAAGGGGAGGACGCTTCTAGTCAGAAACCGGAAGTAAGCGAAGCAGAAAACATTAGCCGTTCAGTAGTTTTGCGGGTTACTGTTAACTACGGCAAAGTACAATTTGGAGTTGAAAACTTCGACATGGGAACTACGGCGAGTCAACTTTCGAAAGAGTCGCTCTCAGAATATCAGGTAAGTCCCGAAAGCAAAGTCTCCACAGGCAAACTTTACCTATTTTCTTAATGGACGAGTGGAAGTGGTTTTTACGCCCTGTAATAACGTTAAAGGAAGAGCGTAATAGCTATATTAGCCTGATGTTTCAAAGGAGAAATAAAATGATAAGCGTCCTGGTGCTCAAATAACCAGTATTATTTACATTTGTAGTTGATGTAATTCGTATTGATTATATGTAACGTCTGTGGAAATACTATTAAAAACAAGTTACGGTCACTAGCCTAATAACAACCAATACGGTTGCTCAGACTCTTTAAAAACATCCGTTTGGGGGTAAAAGTTACACATTTATGTTAATAAGTGATTGTTGTCTTTGCACTAATGCTTACATTTACTTTGTTTTGGAAGACGAAAGAAGCGCTTATTGTTAAACTGAGGGTTACTAAACTCAGAGAAAATGTATTCATAAATATATGTGTCATCCTTTTATCTCTTGTTTGAACAACTTCAGTAATTAAAATCAGGTACGCACTGAGTGGGTCCGGGCTGTCTTGTGTTTGTTTTGTTGTTCATTTAAAGCTCAGTTTGAAAACTAATTATTATTGTTTGATGTTTCACTTTTTATATGCTTTTATTTTTCTTGTTAAATTAAGAAGATGCCTGTTTATTTGAACAAGAAGCTCTTCAACTTCTTAAAGGACTAATCCTTACATATATTTTTAGGAGCTGACCTTCCTGACAAAACAAGAAATTCTTCTGTAAGTGACAAGCTGCAAGTCATCATACTAACAAAAACATTTTGTCTTCTGCTGGTTGTTGTAATGTGTGATATATTTTCCTCTTTTTTGCAGTGCTCACAAGAGATTCACAGAGCTGCTTGAGAAACATGAAAAACAACAAATAGATGCCAGAGCACCAATGGGCAGGATTACTACTCTGCCTGAGCTCAAGGTGAAAAGATTTTAACAAAACATATGCATTACATTGTTTTTATGTTTTGTTTTTTGCGTTAATGCTTGATTTCTATGTTTATGGGATTATATTGTAATTCATGCTCTGAAGGAAGTGCTTCAGGGGCTGGTAATCTGTTCTGACCTTTGTACTCATTCCCGTTACAGTCCAACCCTTTCAAGGAAAGAATCTGCCAGGTGTTCTCAACCTCTGAACAAAAAGATGGAAGCCTCACTTTTGAGGACTTCCTGGATCTTCTGAGTGCCTTCAGCGACTCTGCTACTCTGGAAATCAAATCCCACTATGCATTCCGCATATTTGGTAAAAAAATAAAGTTGATAAAAAGTGATATAGTTATTTTTGCACGCAAATATGTCAGTCTACGTAATGCTAACCAGTCTGCTGCTTTCAGACTTTGATGATGATGGAACCCTTGACTGTGCTGATCTGGAGAAGCTGGTTAACTGCTTAACTGGGGAGACAAACGATGCAAAACTTTCCTCCACGGAAATGAAGCAGCTCATCAGCAACGTGAGATTACTGAGTTTGTCTTTAAAGTTGTAAGGGGTGGTTATAAACTGCATGTGGGGGTGGTATATTGATGTGTCAGTAAGCCTAACAATGTGTTTCTTTTCCGTGTCTGCGTGTTGTTTAGATTCTTGAAGAGTCAGACATCGACAAGGACGGAACTGTGAACCTCTCAGAGTTTCAGCACGTCATTTCAAGGTCACCAGATTTCGTCAGGTAACTAGAAATCCAGCAGCTCCAAACACCAATAATTATTTGCATTTATAAGTGTCCAATTGATTCTCATTTGATTTATGCACAGTTCCTTCAAGATTGTGCTCTGAAGACTTCCAGTGAACCTTGGAGATGCATGCACCTTTTTAATTTTAGTGTATAATTTTAAATCAGAACAATTTTAATTACTTGCCTTAAATTATATTTACCTGTGGATTTTGCTGCCTTAACTGTTTTATGTCATTTGTCAAATATAAACCCTTTTTAAACATCTGTTTGAAGAAAAAATAAAAGTTTCACCAAAAAGTATTGAGTTGAGTTTTTTTATAGAGAAAAAAATGAACAAAGAAATTTAGTTAATTCTTTGTGTTTGTAGGAGAAATTTACCACTGTTGTCCAAAGTTCACTGTGCTTAACAAGTGCATTTTGTGCTATTTTCAGCACAAGCTACTTCCTCCTTTACAGCAGCAGCAAATGTGTTCCATGTCCCGCACACCACATCAAGAACACACATCTGCTCAGCCCTGAAAAACTCCACACGCTGCGGCTCATCCGAACTAGTTACTGTTTGGTGTCCAAGCTGGCCGTATTCCCCTGTAAAGGTAATAAAGGCAAAGATGCCAAAAATCTTGGCGTTCACTTTGATTTGAATGATACTGCTGTGAGTATTTCACTTAGATGTAACACATTTCTAAAACCAAAACTCACCCCATCCCCAAGTGTAGAGGTCACCAGTGGCTGAAAATAAGAAATTGTGACATGATGATTGCTAGAAAATGTGCATCCCAGTAAAACAACTGTCAGAAGAGATTCCTTACTTGTTACTGCAGCTGTGTGGCGGGAACCACAGCTTACTGCTCCGATTTCACATGATGAAGAGACATCCAGCAGAGCGGGGAACGCCTGGATTGATATGAACACATCTTCATGCTCCTCTTCCTCCTTTAGCTTTTCATCTGGTGGTGCGCTGGTATCACAGCATAATTCTCCTGTTTGATAAGGTCAGTGGTTCAAAATGGATGTAAAAACTGCCTCTTCAATAGAACTCTTTAAAGCAGTGCGCATTTCAGGACAGACCTGTTTGTTGACTAGTTTTCTGCTGAGATTTCCTCAGACCTCGAGAAGGAAGTCCAAGCTGGCCGCTCTCATTCCAGCCCCACACATAAAGGTCACCCCCATCTAAGAACAAAAAAGATCCTCTTCAAATCCTTTTTTAAACCGAGTGTAACTTGTCCAAATCTTTATTTGACATTTACCACTAATGCAAGCTGAGTGCCAGCCTCCTGTAGCCACACGGGTCATGGGCATCCCCCAGAGTGCCTCCACTACTCTGGGCTCCTCCTCAGAGGTGAGCACGCCATGCCCCAGCTGACCATGGCTGTTACATAAACACACACACGCATAGGAAGATTAACTTATGCTTGTTCATTTGTTTGTTTGTTGATTGTTGTTTATGCATGAAACTGATGCTTCTCATATGTTCAATAAAGATATATGTGTAAGTGGCTCCACCTGCCCAGTCCCCAGCTGTACACTGCTCCAGTGGCAGTAAGAAGAACGGCATGCTCTGCACCCAGTGCTAGGCTCCTGGCTGTCAGGTGTCCTGGTAAGGTGCAGTAGAAGGGAGGCTTTAAGGCAATGTAGCCCCCAGGGACCAATGGCAAATTCACATCTACAATAAATAAATAAATAAAAAGTAATATTGAGACTCTGTAATTTCATACATCATTATTAATGTCTGTCTAGGCAGATAAGATATTAGCACACACATTACCAGAGCCCTCTGCGTCGGTTTTTATATCAATGCTCCATGATGGACTCTTCTCCCTCTTCTGCAGATCCCAGGTCTCAATCCTGTCTGGGAAGGCCAGGGTCAAGTGCGATTCACTGATGAATACATCTTTACAACCATGGCTCTCTATTTTAGAAATACCACAGTCCTCGCTGGAGACCGATTCCCCAAAACCTGCCAAGCTCAGGCAGCTGTCTCCTGACAGAAACAACAAACAACAAAACAAGAGCTAAGCTAAAGCAATAGATGTATTAAAGACATGTTATTCCTCAGGACACAGGCGATGTCTTTGATACACTCACCCTCTAAATGTAAAGATGCTCTTCGACTCCAGCTCACTCTGATCTGACTTGTCTTCAAGCAGCATCCACTTCTATCCACGTGACTGCTGAGCTCTGCTGGGTGACTTACTTTGACTTGGTGGGGCGCGCTGCTACTTTCTCCTCTGCCTGACTTTTCCTGGACACATATCTGTCCAAAGGCGTTGAAGCCGAAGCCAAACCAGCGCATCTGAACACCGAGCAGCTCAACAGAAGCTGTCCGCAAAACTAACCTACGGTTGCGCTTATTTTTTTTTAATACAGCAGGAGCACAAGCGGCGAGAGATGATGACGAGTGGCGAGGGAGGAGCATGTCATTTAAATCGTCTTTAAAGAGACATACACCAAGTTCATGTTTATTGACAGTATTTAAGGTTGCTCTGTTACTACACGTACAGATTATTGTGAACAAAAGCTGTGCATCAGGCATATACCTCGGTTTTTTCACAATGTCACAAGCCACAAGCTGGCTCATTAAGTGTGAAATGTGCGTGCGCATAAACAGTTGTACAATAAAAAGTTGTACAGACATGGAAGGGTTGGCTTTTTTGATACAGATTGTTATGTGGCCTAAGTGGCCTGGCTCACTTACGTAGCAGATCAGCTGGACTGTACAAGATCACTAAACTAAATTGAGTTTGAAACCCCTGCTATAAATTATAAAATGTGCACCACAAACTTTGATAGGACAACTTGTGTCACATTTCTTATAAATTTAGTTTGGAAAGTTGTAGAATGGCCATTTTAATAATATAAAAATTCTCGAAGCAGTCAGTGGCACCCCTCATCCTCCTAGCAGATGTACCTATGATGTCAATTTCAAAATCCTTTCTTCTCAGTTATTTCATTCACGATATTAAAAAAAACAACAACTGAGATTCAGACTCATCAGAGATTTTTAATACATACACTTAAGGTCTAAATTTGAAACCCCTACATTGCTTCATTGTCAAGTGATCGCATTCAAAGAGTTGGGTATCCATATTGCCTGCCCAGCAGGTGATGACAATACCCCACCAGCCTTTCATGGCTGAGGGATAAAAATAGTTGGGCATCCCAGCACTAAAGCACCATTATAAAGTACATCTAGCCAGGTGGGATATGGAATAAAGTAAACAGAGAAGTGAGGATTGGTCATTTTTATTTTTATTTTTTATTTTTCATGTTCAGTTAAAACGTATTAAAACAACAAAGCACACTGGGAATGTGTTGGATTGTCAATAATAGTGATAACAAACATTTAAACAAAAAGTAAATTTTATAGTGTAAATGAAATGTTTCTATTTTTTGCTGAATATAAAATAAAATATTGAGAAAAGTAGTGTGCACAATAAAAATAAGAATGTATTTGTGGGACTAACAATGACACTCAAATGAAATATTTGCACATATATAGGAATGGTCATTTTTAGTGGAAATACATGGAGGAGAAATGTTGGTCTCTAGGTGGAATACGCACTTTTGCCAGACTTTAACAAGCATACAATCAACATTACACAGCAGTCAAAAATCATTTCTGTGCTGTTGGTTCTTCCATTTGATACCATTCTTCACTACATCCCTTATTGCTTTTAATCATTTTTTGTTAAGACATATGAGCCCATTTCCTGCAAAAATGAAATTACTTCACTGGTCCAATATAATGTTCAAAGAACTGAAACGCTGTCAGGTGGCACATCCACACACTGCACTTTGTGTTCAGGGTTCAGTTCCTGAGCTCTTCTCCTTTTCTTCCCCGCTTCTGATGATGCCGTACTCCATTGCTTTATCCAGGCAGTTCTGAGCTATCTTCGAGACGGCATCTGGCGTGCCCTCTCCTCCCTTTGCAAGGACGGAAAGAATCTCCAGAGCTTCGCTCTCTATGAGTTTCTCAGCCAGACTCTTCTCTGCCTGGATCATGTTCTGAACTATGACCACTCCACGATGACGTAGGTCAGGTATTTCACTGAGCAACAAAGCCTGCACAATTTCTAGCCAGTGGGTTGTCTGAGAAGATAACAGAAGTCATGTAAGCAAAAATAGAGTAAAAATAAAATAAAAAAATGGTAGCGACACTACTGGAGTGCTTTTCTTACAGTTCCAGGGATGCGAGCGCAGAGTTCAGGATGTTCGGCTGTCAGCATGGCCAAGGTTCCTGCAGCAGCTTTCCGCAGCCTCCCGTCATCCTCTCCGCTGTAAAGCACGAGCAGCTTCAGGCGATCATTTCCTGTGGCCAGGTAGAGCTTCTGCACCTGAGGATGCCACACAGCACAGCCGCTACTGTCAGTTCAACCGGTATTCATGTATTCAAAGACTTGTTAATAAATTATCCCTTACCTCAGTATTTAAAACCAAGTTGCACATGCACTCTGTGGCAGAAGCTCGTACAAGATCATGCTCCTCAAACATGTAACCTTCAATTTTAGGTACAGCTTTCTCCTTGATGATCTTTTGCCTGTGAAAGTGTATACTTAATTCAGACAACTGAAAAACACTTATGAAACTGCGCTGATCAGGATAAAAGATGCTTTAAAAGGCAGATATAAAGTAAGTTTTGAAAAAAGTAAAAAATAAAACAAAACAAGGCATGCTTTGCATAACTGCACAACTTCAGTGTTAATTATCAGCTTCTACAGTGAAAACAGCTTTGACAGGAAATTAGATTTCAGTGGTCAACAGAGACTCTAAATGTTTCAGTCTTTGGAAAGTTGCCATACAAGAAAATTACTGCATGTTAATCAAGTCTGTGATTTAGTCCATATTAAGTCTCAGTCACATGTGGTCACCCTGGAAGAATTTAAAAACAGGTTTGATGGAAGGATTTCACACCATCTAAATACTTTATGCTAAGCAATAAAAGTGACACATGTATTGATCTGCAAAAGTAGCTTTGCAAAATGCAGAAAATGTAAAATAAAACAAATAAATAAATAATAATAATAAAAGTATCCTAAATGTAATGTTCTGGAATGAAAATAGACTGTTTTGTATGAATAGTTTTAGTAGAGACCCCCCCCTAGTGGCGAACCTGAGTCTATCGTTGATGCCAGCCAGGTTTGTGAGAGCCATGAGTGCCTCAAAGTTCTGCAGCAGGGTGCACTCAAGCCTCAGAAGGCTGGCTAGTGGGCGTACCACCTCATAGATCTGACCCCAAAAAATACACAAACAAACAAAAGCAAGATAATGTTAAAGAGTTATTGTATTTTTTTTTAAGTTAACTTGTGTGTTACTGTTTGCATTTTTACCCTTTCTCCTGGAAAGGCAATCTCCGGGTTAGACGTGATGGTTATTTTTGCCAGGGCTTGTGCAGCTTTGATTTTTCCTGCATCTGTGTTGTCGGATGCAAGTGGGATCAGAGCCTTTTGGAGGAGAGCAGCAGACATAAATCATTTAAGCCTTCTGAAGTGTGGTGCTTAGTTAAGAGTGTAGGCTAAGCCGAGTGTATTTTAGAATAGAATAGAAAAAAATCCTTTAATTGTCCCACAAGGGGAAATTTGGGAAATTTTATCAGTACGCTCTACCTTTCCTCCACCCTGTGCCACCACCGTGCCTCTGTCTTCCTGTCGCTCCACTAGAGCCAAGAACACCCTGCCGTGAAAGATTATATTAACCAGAAAATCTACAGAAAAAACAGTGAAAGTTAAAGACTTACTGCCATTTTCCTACCTGGCAATACATTCCCTACAAGCCTCAGTGAGTGCAGGACTCTCCTGTTTGACCATGCAAACCAATGCAGACACCACACCAGCCTCCAGCAGCTTCACCAGCCTTTTCTCTACATAGGAAGGTGCATCCTAACATTAAAAAAAAAAGTAGGCAAAAATATGAATCATAACCAAAAATAATTGAAATGAAGCTGTATAAAATAAATATTGTGCTATGTTAGTTCTACTTGAAAAGAAAAGGTTAATTTTAGTACTACCTTGGGATGTTCCTCAGGTACATGCTGCTTTGCATACTTGGCCAGCTCCACCATTTGAGGGTCTGGTTTCTCCACATCATAACTGTTGGTGCAATTCACTAATGTAGAACCCACAGCAAAGAGCACAGTCTTATCCTCAGACTGCAAAAACACACAGAAAACACAAAAAGGGCATCAGTGCATTTCAAGCATGGATGATAATCTGGTCCTGTGACATGAAATAGTTAGCAATAGTTACTTAGATTTAGAACAAATGAGTCCAATGAGGGACAGAAAAGGACTACTGATTAACTGGTCAGCGCTATAGACAGGACTAACACTGCCATCTAATGCACCGTGAAGGTGTGTGCCAAATATGCTGGCGCTTGGTTATTAAGAATCAGACCCTGTTAACTCCACAGAAGTCAGTCAGAGTGGAGAAAATATAAGACTTCAGTTTAAATTCTTTTAGCTATGAGGAAAATAATGATGAGTTATACCTTTGCAAGGTCAAACATGGCCAGCAGGGCATTCTTGTCTTCCACCAAGTCTTCCTTTACATCTGCATCAAAGGTGAGGTAGGCGAGACCTTCCACAGACCAGCGGCGGGAAGTTGGGGGGAGAGTCTCATTACACAGCCACCTTACAGAGAAAGAGATAAAGCTTGTCAGTTATTTGAAATCCAGTAATCCACTCAAAACCTGGTATTTAGATCAGGTTTTGCAGATGTACATCAAGCATGCCGCATCTCTTAATCTATACCTAGGCTTAAGATTCAATATAAGACAACATACTTCCTGCACTGCTTGGCAAGCTTAAGTGTAGATCCCTCTGCAAACTGCTTCATGCTGAAATCTGTTCCTCCTGCTGATCCAAGC